GCTGGAAAAAGATATTTCACGCAAATGGAGACCAAAAGAAAACAGGAGTAGCAATATTCACATCAGATAAAATAAACTTTGAAGTAAATGCCATGGAAAGAGACAAAGAAGGACACTACATAATGATCAAAGGGTCAATCCAAGAAGAACATATAACAATTATAAATATGTATGCAACCAACATAGGAGCACTGCAATATGTAAGGCAAATGCTAAGAAGTATAAGGGGAAATTAACAGTAACACAATATTAGTGGGAGACTTTAATACCCAAGTCACACCTATGGATAGACCAACTGAACAGAAAATTCGCAAGAAAACACAAACTTTAAATGATACAGCGGACCAGTTAGACCTCATTGATATCTATAGGACATTTCACCCCCAAATAATGAATTCCATCTTTTTCTCAAGTGCACACGGAACCTTCTCCAGGATAGATCACATCCTGGGCTATAAATCTAGCCTTGGTAAATTAAAAAAAATTGAAATCATTCCAAGCATCTTTTCTGATCACAGCACAGTAAGATTAGATGTCAACCACAGGGGAAAATACTATTAAAAATACAAACATATGGAGGTTAAACAACATGCTTCTGAAAAACCAACAAATCACAGAAGAAATCAAAATATGCATAGAAATGAATGAAAATGAAAACACAACAACCCCAAACCTATGGGATTCAGTAAAAGCAGTGCTAAGGGGAAGGTTTATAGCAATACAAGCTTACCTCAAGAAACAAGAGAAATATCAAATAAATAACTTAACTCTACACATAAAGCAACTAGAAAAAGAAGAAATGAAGAGCCCCAAGGTTAGTAGAAGGAAAGAAATTATAAAAATCAGGGCATAATTGAATAAATGAAAAAGAAACAAAGGAGACCATAGCAAAAATCAACAAAGCTAAAAGCTGGTTCTTTGAGAAGATAAATAAAATAGACAACCCATTAGCCAGACTCACAAAGAAAAAAAGGGAGAAGTATCAATTCAACAAAATTAGAAATGAAAATGGAGAAATCACAACAGACAACATAGAAATACAAAGGATCATAAGAGACTGCTGTCAGCAACTGTATGCCAATAAAATGGACAGTTTGGAAGGAATGACAAATTCTTAGAAAAATATAACTTTCCAAAACTGAATCATGAAGAAATAGAAAATTTTGATGGACCCATCACAAGCATGGAAGCCAAAACTGTAATCAGAAATCGTCCAGCAAACAAAAGCCCAGGGATGGCTTCAGAGTTGAATTCTATCAAAAATTTAGAGAAGAGCTAACACCTATCCTACTCAAACCCTTCCAGAAAATTGCAGAGGAAGGTAAATTTCCAAACTCATTCTATGAGGCCACCATCACCCTAATACCAAAACCAGGCAAAGATTCCACAAAAAAAGAAAACTACAGGCCAATATGACTGATGAAGATAGATGCAAAAATCCTCAACAAAATTCTAGCAAACAGAATCCAACAACATATTAAAAAGATCACACATGATCACCAAGTGGGCTATATCCCAGGGATGCCATGATTCTTCAATATTCAAAAATCAATCAATGTGATACATCACATTAACAAATTGAAAGATAAAAACCATATTATCTCAATAGATGCAGAGAAAGCCTTTGACAAAATTCAACATCCATTTATGATAAAAACATCCATTTATCCATTTTTATCCAATGGATAAAACATCCATTCAACCCTCCAGAAAGCAGGCATAGAAGGAACATACCTCAACATAAAAAAAAAGCCAGATATGATAAACCCACAGCAAACATTATCCTCAATGGCAAAAAATTGAAAGCATTTCCCCTAAAATCAGAGACAAGACAAGGGTGCCCACTCTCACCACTACTATTCAACATAGTTTTGGAAGTTTTAGCCACAGCAATCAGAGAGAGAGAGAGAGAGAGAGAGAGAGAAAAAAAAAGGAATCCAGATAGGAAAGAAGTAAAACTCTCACTGTTTGCAGATGATATGATCCTCTACATAGAAAACCCTAAAGACACCACCAGAAAATTTCTAGAGCTAATCAATGAATATAGTAAAGTTTCAGGATATAAAATTAAAACACAAGTCCCTTGCATTCCTATACACAAACATTAGAAAACAGAAAGAGAAATTAAGGAAACAATTCCGTTCACCATTGCAACGAAAAGAATAAAACACTAAGACTAAATCTACCTAAAGAAACAAAAGACCTATATACATGAAACTATAAAACACTGATGAAAGAAATCAAAGATGACACAAATGGAGAAATATACCATGTTCATGGATCAGAAGAATCAATATAGTGAAAATGCATATACTACCCAAAGCAATCTATAGATTCAATTCAGTCCTTATTAAGCTACCAATGTTAGTTCTCAGAGAACTAGAACAAATAATTTCACAATCTGTATGGAAATACAAAAAACCTCAAATAGCCAAAGTAATCCTGAGAAAGAAGAATGGAACTGGAGGGATCAACCTGCCTGACTTCAGACTATACTACAAAGCTACAGTCATCAAGACAGAGTGGTACTGGCACAAAGACAGAAATATAGATCAATGGAACAAAATAGAAAGCCCAGAGATAAATCCACACACCTTTGGACACCCTATCTTCAACAAAGGAGGCAAGAATATGCAATGGAGAAAAGACAATCTCTTTAACAAGTGGTGCTGGGAAAACTGGTCAACCACTTGTAAAAGAATGAAACTAGAACACTTTCTAACAAAATACACAAAAATAAACATTTTTGTTTATTTGAATACATAGGCAAAACACTCTCTGACATAAATCACAGCAGGATCCTCTATGACTGACCTCCCAGAGTAATGGAAATAAAAGCAAAAATAAACAAATGGGACCTAATGAAACTTAAAAACTTTTGCACAACAAAGGAAACTATAAGCAGAGTGAAAAGACAGCCTTCAGAATGGGAGAAAATAATAGCAAACGAAGCAACAGACAAAGGATTAATCTCAAAAATTTACAAGCAACTTCTGAAGCTCTATTCCAGAAAAATAAATGACCCAATCAAAAAATGGGCCAAAGAGCTAAGCAGACATTTCTCCAAAGAAGACATACAGATGGTTAACAAACACATGAAAAGATGCTCAATATCACTCATTATCAGAGAAATGCAAATCTAAACCACAATGAGGTACCATCTCACGCCAGTCAGAATGGCTGCTATCCAAAAATCTACAAACAATAAATGCTGGAGAGGGTGTGGAGAAAAGGGAACCCTCTTACACTGTTGGTGGGATGCAAACTAGTATAGCCACTATGGAGAACAGTGTGGAGATTCCTTAAAAACCTGGAAATAGAACTGCCATATGACCCAGCAATCCCACTTCTGGGCATACATACTGAAGAAACCAGAATTGAAAGAGACACGTGTACCCCAATGTTCATCGCAGCACTGTTTATAATAGCCAGGACATGGAAGCAACCTAGATGTCCTTCAGCAGACAAATGGATAAGAAAGCAGTGGTACATATACACAATCAAATATTACTCAGCCATTAAAAGATACATTTGAATCAGTTCTAATGAGGTGGATGAAACTGGAGCCCATTATACAGAGTGAAGTAAGCCAGAAAGAAAAATATCAATACAGCATACTAACACATACATACGGAATTTAGAAAGATGGTAATGATATCCCTGTATGCAAGACAGCAAAAGAGACACATATGTTTGGAACAGTCTTTTGGACTCTATGGGAGAAGGCGAGGGTGAGATGATCTGAGAGAATAGCACTGAAACATGTATATTAGCAGATATGAAATAGATAGTCAGTCCAGGTTTGATGCATGAGACAGGCTGTTAAGGGCTGGTGCACTGGGATGACCCAGAGGGATGGGATGGGGAGAGACATGGGTGGGGGGTTCAGGATGGGGAACGCATGTAAATCCATGGCTGATTCATGTCAATGTATGGCAATAACCACTACAGTATTGTAAAGTAATTAGCCCTCAATTAAAATAAGTTAATTAATTTTTTTAAAAAGTCATGATAATTCAGATCATTTGCATTTGAATTTGTGCATGAAAAACAAGCTAAGCCAACCCTGTAGAAGCATTACAAGTTGAGGCTATAATATTAGTATCTTTGGTTGCGACTTATTTCATTTTTCTTTCTCCCTAAGGTCTGGGCTAAAGTTTGTAAAGGTACTAAGTGTCCTGAGAAGCCATCTGTCTATTTGGGTGGAGAATGGCTGAAACTGTCTATAGAGATGATGTTTTCATTGTGTTCTGTGTAATCAAAGTTAATTTCTTTTCAGAGTCAAAGAAACTCCCAAGTTTTTGATAGACATCTTAGAACTGTCCACCAGCCACTGGGAATGACAACCCTTCTGACATCTTCAAGGGATGTCCAATGCCTTAAGTGCCTTTTTTTTTTGTTTCTGCATATGGATATTATCTGTGGATCCTATACTTACATTTAATTCTCTTTAAAATTTGTTCTATTATGTTTAGCCCAATTTAATAATCATTTTTAGAGAATTTCATGTGTACTTATATTACTTTATCACATCATCTTTTGAGTAACTCAGTTAATATTTACTTAAACTCCCTTTAGCTTTTAATGAAATGCCTAGGATGTAGTTTCAGAAGAGAAAAGGCATAAAATATTTTAGGCTAATTGCATTGCTTTCCTCTCAGCAAGTAGTTGGGCAGACATAACAGTAACCATAACCTGACTACCATCAACTTCTTCAGAGAAGATTCTGAATTTTGTTCATCACTGTATTCCCAGAACCTTGTACAGTGCATGTCATATTTAGGGCTCATTAATGTACTTTTTTTTTTGTTTGTTTCCCAGCCAATGCATGGTTTTGGGGAGCTTCCCAGGGGGCTGCAGTGGTAAAGAGTCCTCCTGCAATGCAGGAGATGCAACAGATGTGGGTTTGATGCCTGGATCAGGAAGATCTCCTGGAGTAGGCAATCCCAACCCACTCCAGTATTCTTGCCTGGAAAATTCTATGGACAGATGAACCTAGCGGGCTACAGTCTATGGGGTTGCAAAGAGTCAGACATGACTTAGGGGCTACACAACAACAACAGCAACAGAAGATTCGCCAAGACAACAGTAATAAAAGCTGGCAACATATAGCCTACCTGGAGAGAAAACTCAACATGAATAGAGGTGAACATTGGTCTGATTTTAATTGTTATCCAAGAAAAGGAAAAAGTTCAGGAGTTGCACAGTTTTATATATTGTACCCAAGTTAATAGGGACAGGTCACTTTATTTACAAAGCAATTAACAAGATAATAAAAACCGAGCCAAGACTAGACTGTATTGTGGTGTAAAAGATACCATAAACATCATTTGCATCTGTGTGTAGACAGCTGTTCAGCTTTAACAGCGGTGGAAGGCTTGAATATGGTCCTTCATTCTTTCAAAGTAATTGCAACTCGATTATGAATCAGTGAACACAATATGTCCAGTCACTTGACAGAGGCAGTAATAGGCTAAATTAATAGAATAAGACACTTAACCAAAGACCAAGTTTGTGTGTATGGCTGTATCAAATCTAATATAAATTTAATCCACAGGGAAAATAGTAATTTCAAAGATACATGAATACATTTAAGCCATTAGGATTTACAGAAATAAAATGCTACTACAGTTATTTGAGTCTCACATCTGCATTTTTTTCTTAAATTGTATGTCTATGCCACAATCAAGATTTACTAATATTTGAATTTTGTACTTCCTCTGCATACTTTTTTATGAAATAAGTTAAATATACAGATGAAATGGGTGTCACTTTTGTCCTGTGAATCCCATTTCTGTTATCCAAAATTAGCCCCATCAGAGAGTTCAGTCGCTCAGTCGTGTCCAACTCTTTGTGACCCCATGGGCTGTGGCATGCCAGGCTACCCAGTCCATCACCAACTCCCGGAGGTTGCTTAAACTCTTGTCCATCGAGTTGGTGATGTCATCCAACCATCCCATCTTCTGTTGACCTCTTTGCTTCCTGCCTTCAATCTTTCCCAGCATCAGGGGCTTTTCCAATGAGTCAGTTCTTTGCATCAGGTGACCAAAGTATTGGAGTTTCAGTTTCAGCATCAGTCCTTCCAGTGAATATTCAGGACTGATTTCCTTTAGGACTGACTGGTTTGATCTCCTTGCAGTCCAAGGGACTCTCAAAGGTCTTCTCCAACAATACAGTTCAAAAGTATCAATTCTTTGGTGCTCAGTTCAGTTGAGTCCCTCAGTTGTGTCCAACTCTTGCAACCCCATGGACTACAGCATGCCAGGCTTCTCTGTCCAACACCAAATCCCGGAGGTTGTTCAAACTCTTGTCCATCAAGTCGATGATGTCATCCAACCATCTCATCCTCTGTTGACCTCTTCTCCTCCTGCCTTCAATCTTTCCCAGAATCAGGGGCTTTTCCAATGAGTCAGTTCTTTGCATCAGGTGGCCAAAGTATTGGCGTTTCAGCTTCAGTATCAGCCCTTCCAATGAATATTCAGGACTGATTTCCTTTAAGATGAACTGGTTGGATCTCCTTGCAGTCCAAGGGACTCTCAAGAGTCTTCTCCAAGACCACAGTTCAAAAGCATCAATTCTTCAGTGCTCAGCTTTCTTTATAATCCAACTCTCGCACCTATATATGACTACTGGAAATTCCATAGCTTTGACTAGACAGACATTTGTTGGCAAAGTAATGTCTCTGCTTCTTAATATGCTGTCTAGCTTGATCATAACTTTTCTTCCAAGGAGCCTAGTGCCTTTTAATTTTATGGCTGTAGTCACCATCTGTAGTGAATTTGGAGCCCAAGAAAATAAAGTCTGTCACTGTTTCCATTGTTTCTCCATCTATTTGCCATGTAGTGATGGGAATGGATGCCTTGATCTTAGTTTTTTGAAAGTTGAGTTTTAAGCCAGACTTTTCACACTCCTCTTTCACCTTCATGAAGAGGCTCTTTAGCTTCTCTTCACTTTCTGCCATAAGGGTGGTGTCAACTGCATATCTGAGGTTATTGATATTTCTCCTGGCAATCTTGATTTCAGCTTGTGCTTCATCCAGCCTGGCATTTTGCCTGATGTACTCTGCATTTAAGTTCAATAAGCAGGATGACAATATACAGCCTTGACATACTCCTTTCCTGACTTGGAACCAGTGTGTTATTCCATGTCTGGTTCTAACTGTTGCTTATTGACCTGCATACAGATTTCTCAGGAGGCAGGTAAGGTGGTCTGGTAATCTCATCTCTTGAAGAACTTTCCACAGTTTGTTGAGATCTACATATCAAAGGCTTGGGCATAATCAATAAAGCAGCAGTAAATGTTTTTCTGGAACTCTCTTGCTTTTTTGATGATCCAACAGATGTTGGCAGTTTGATCTCTGGTTCCTCTGTCTTTTCTAAATCCAGCTTGAACATCTGGAAGTTCATGGTTCACATATTGTTGCAGACTGTCTTGGAGAATTTTGAGCATTTCTTTGCTAGCATTGAGATGAGTACAACTGTGTGGTATTGCTCTTCTTTGGGATTGGAATGAAAACTGACCTTTTCCAGTCCTGTGGCCGCCGCTAAGTTTTCCAAATTTGCTGGCATATTGAGTGCAGCACTTTATCAGCATCATCTTTTAAGATTTGAAAACCCCATATCATGTATGTAAGACCCTTTAGCCTATTCAAATTGTTACACACAGACACAGGCTATTCATTTTATCCATTTTCTTGCATGTAGACATGGCTTGTTCTTACTTTTTTATATCAAGAATTGTTGCCACGAATAGCTCCATAAATGTCTTCTGTTATGCATGGGCAGCCATTCTCAAATATATTAAACATTGACAAGTTGTTCCAAAGTGACTGTACCTGATTACCTCCCAATTGCAATGTACTAGATTTTTTTAATCTCAAAAAAACTTCACAAAAATGTTGAGCTGCCAAAGTTTTAAAAATAGTTGTGTTTTTTTTTTTTTTGCATGCAAATCTAATCATTAAGCAATGGCATTTCACTATTTCTTAGATTTTTTTCTTTAATTACTAGTGTTGTAAATACTTGTTCATATACAGTTGGCCATTAGGTTTCCTTTCTTTTTTTTTTCTTTTGGAATTACTTTTTCAAATCCTTTGATTGCTTTTGCATTACCTCTTTTTTCTCCCTTGGGTTTAATCAATACCTATCTATACTATGTGTTATAGATATTTTTTCCCAGAATATAACTTGCCTTTTTGTTTTGTTAGGTCTTTTTTTGTTTGGCAAAAGAAGTTTATATTTTGATACAGTGGAAATTATTTGTTTTTTCTCTGTGACTTGTATTTGTGGGTTCTTCTCTAAGGATTCTTTCTCTACCTACTCCAATATTGTAAATGCATTCTTTATTTTATTCCAACAGTTTAGTGTTTATTTTCACTTTTAGATTTTTGATTCAGTATGATTGTTGTTTTGTGTGAAATAAAGTTCTATTTATATTTTTAAAGAAAAATGAGTCATCTTAGCAATATAGATGTTTCTTTCCCTTTAAAGATTAAAATGTTCTGTCTCTCATTCCTCAAAGGCCTCACATATTGCTTGCTGTTTCTATTATCTCTAATCTTATCCATTTTTTAATTGAAACTTCATTGATAAAATACAGTATTAATTATTATAGCTATAAGCTAATGCTCTGGGCTTCCCAGGTGGTGCTAGTGGTAAAGAATCCACCTGCCAATGCAGGAGACAAGAGACGCAGGTTCAATCCCTAGGTCAAGAAGGTCCCCTGGAGGAGGGCATGATAACCCACTCCAGGATTTTTACCTGAAGAATACCATGGACAGAGAAACCTGGAGGGCTACAGTCCATGGGGTTGTAAAGAGTCAGACATGACTGAAATGACTTAATACGCATACTAATGCATTGGTGGGGTGAGTCTCTATGCTTTACTTTTTCTTCAAATAGACCTTTATGCCATTAGTCTTTGTTATTCTTTAGAATTAGTTTCTCCAACATGGAAATCCTATATCAAATAAAACCTTATATCAATGTTGATTTGAGAGTTTTGTTAAGTGAAATGGATTATTTTGGTGAGAAGCAACATTATTTTGGTGATATTTTGGAAATATCATTGCATTTCCCATCCATAAACTCATCTAGGTACTGGGAATGGAACACAGTAGTGAAGAAGAAAGACAGTTACTGTCCTGATGAAATTTGGGAGGGAGAAGGGAAGAGATCATCAACAGACAAATAGACAAGTAAACATATAGAATATCAGATGGCAAATCATGCTGTGGAGAAACAGAAAACATAAAGAGGATAGAGAACAAAAGAGAGCAACCTGTTCTGTAAGAAAGTAATAAAGATGGGGCATTTGAACAAATGGCTAAGTGATCAGGAATGTTTGAAGGAAGGAGATTTCAAAGAGAGAGAACCATATAAATTTGAGTGGTGAGTTCAAGAGAGAGAAAAAAGACTGGGGCACAGTGAGTGAGGGTAGCAAAGGAGATGAGGTTCAAAGGGCATTGTTGACCAGATCTGAGGCCTTATATAAATCTGTTGCAACCTCTGCTTTATTCTAAAGGAAAAGGAAGACGTTGGCAAGCTTTGGACGAATCTAGTTCACATTGTAAATGGATCCCTCTGGCTGCTGGAGATAAGAATATTGCAGAAGGAAAGAAATCAGCTGTGAAACTAGTGCAACCATCCAGATAGAAAAGATGGTCTCATGTCTTTCAGAATTTTTTTTTTTACTTCCAAAGTATTCTTCCATTACCTATGTTAGATATTATGCTTATATTGAGGAGATATTTGTTTATTATATACTTTCTATTTTGCTATTGTTGTTATATGGAAATGCCCATAAAATTTTATAAATGTTGACACTGTCACCTGACCCTTTTATTGGTTCTATTACTTTACAGAATTTTTCTTGGCTGTTTTGGGTAGACCATCATAAGAGTGCTGTGTGCTAAATTGCTTCCGTCATATTTGATTCTTTGTGACCCCATGGACTGTGGTCTACCAGGCTTCTCTAGGAATCCCTAGGCAAGAATACTGGAGGGGGTTGTCATGCCTTCCCCCAGGGGATCTTCCCTACCCAGGGATCGAACCCACTTCTCTTAGGTCTCCTGTAATGGCAGGCAGGATTTTTACCCACTAGCTCCACTTGGGAAGCTTCTTTGGGGGAATGTAAATATTCGGTCCATAGCACTCTCTTAATTTGCTTTTATAGTGAATTATATTAATTTCTTTTTCTAGTAATAAATCATCCTTATAGTCCTATAATAAATTACCTGGTTATGATGCATATTTTTAATGCATGCTTGCATTCTTTCTAGAATTTTATTAATATATTTGTATTTCTAGAAGTTAGATTGGGTTATATAATTTTCTTGTATTGTCCTTATTCAATTTTTATGTCAAGTTAATTTCATAATACTCCATTAAATAAGCATTCACACTTCATGCTTCATAATGAGTTAGCTTGATTTTTTATATTTTTAATACTTGAAAACAATTTCTAAAGAGCAGAAAATTTTTGCTCCTTTAAAGTTTGGTAATATTTACCTCTGAAACTGGAGCAAAGGAAAAGATGATTTTTACTATACTAGAATGAAGAATTTCTTCTCTTCAAAAGCCACAAATGAAGAGAGTGAAATAAAAAGCTAAATACTGAATGAAGATATTTGAAACATATAACTGATGACAACCTATATTCAGAAAATACATGAAATTCCACTTCAGAATTAATATGGAAAGACAATGTAGGACAAGAGTATATACATTACAAAAGAGGAGACCCAAATAGCCATTATACATACAGACAGTTGTTCAGTTCAGTTCAGTTCAGCCTCTCAGTTGTGTCTACCTCTTTGTGACCCCATGGACTGCAGCATGCTGGGCTTCCCTGTCCATCGCCAACTCCTGGAGTTTACTCAAACTCATGTCCATAGAGTCAGTGATGCCATCCAGCCATCTCATCCTCTGTCGTCCTCTTCTTCTGCCTTCAATCTTTCCCAGCATCAGGGTCTTTTCAAATGAGTCAGTTCTTCCCATCAGGTGGCCAAAGTATTGGAGTTTCAGCTTCAGCATCAGTCCTTCCAATGAATATTCAGGACTGATTTCCTTTAAGATGGACTGGTTGGATCTCCTTGCAGTCCAAGGGACTCTCAAGCGTCTTCTCCAACACCACAGTTCAAAAGCATCAATTTTTCGGCACTCAGCTTTCCTCACAGTCCAACTCTCACATCCGTACATGACTACTAGAAAAACCATAGCTTTGACTAGACAGATTGTTGTTGGTAAAGTAATGTCTCTGCTTTTTAATATGCTGTCTAGGTTGGTCATAACTTTTCTTCCAAGGAGCAAGCATCTTTTAATTTCATGGCTGCAGTCGCTATCTGCAATTTGGAACCCAACCCATCATCAGGAAATTGGATTAAAGATTTACTGAACATGGTCCCTGCCAATCAGAACAAGACCCAGTTTCCCCCTCAGTCTCTCCTATCAGGAAGCTTCCATAAGCTTCTCCATCAGAGGGAAGACAGACTGAAAACCACAATCACAGGAAACAAACCAATCTGATCACATGGACCACAGTCTTGTCTAACTCAAGGAAACTATGAGCCATGCTGTGTAGGGCCACCCAAGATGGATGGGTCATGGTATAGAGTTCAGACAAAACATGGTCCACTGGAGAAGGGAATGGCAAATCACTTCAGTATTCTTACCTTGAGAACCCCATGAATAGTAGGGAAAGGCAAAAAGATAGGACACTGAAAGATGAATTCCCCAGGTCGGTAGGTGCCCAGTATGCAAGTGGAGATCAGTGGAGAAATAACTCCAGAAAGAATGAAGAGATGGAGCCAAAGTGAAAACAACACCCACTTGTGGATGTGACTGATGATTGAAGCAAAGTCTGATGTTGTAAAGAGCAATATTGCATAAGAACCCGGAATGTTAGGTCCTTGAATAAGGACAAATTGGAGGTGGTCAAATAGGAGATGGCAAGAGTGAACATCAATATTTTAGGAATAAACAAACTGAAATGGACTGGAATAGGTGAATTTAACTCAGATGACCATTATATCTACTACTGTGGGCAAGAATCCAATAGAAGAAATGGAGTAGCCAACAGAGTCAACAAAAGAATCTGAAATGCAGTACTTGGATGCAATCTCAAAAATGACAGAATGATCTCTGTTTGTTTCCAAGGCAAACCATTCAATAACACAGTAATTGAAGTCTATGCCCCAACCAGTAATGCTGAAGAAGCTGAAGTTGAGCAGTTCTATGAAGACCTATAAGACCTTCTAGAACTAACACCCAAAATAGATGTCCTTTTCATTATAGGGGACTGGAATGCAAAAGTAGGGAGTCAAGAAATACCTGGAGTAACAGGAAGATTTGGCCTGGAGTACAGAATGAAGCAGGGCAAAGGCTGATAGAGTTTTGCCAAGAGAATGCACTGGTCATAGCAAACACCCTCTTCCAAAAACACAAGAGAAGTCTCTACACATGGACATCACCAGATGGTCAACACCGAAATCAGATTGATTATATTCTCTGCAGCCAAAGATGGAGAAGTTTTATACAAGTCAGCAAGAACAAGACTGGGAGCTGACTGTGGCTCAGACCATGGACTCCTTATTGCCAAATTCAGACTTAAATTGAAGAAAGTAGGGAAAACCACTAGACCACTCAGGTATGACAGTCGTTCAGCCAACCTTATTAATAGCCAGGAAATGCAAATTGACATTACAATGACACTCAGTTAAGTTGAGAACATTTAAAATCTGGTAATACCAAAGTTTGAGGAAAAACAGAAATTTCCAAGTGTTATTTTTGGAGTATAAATTGCCACAACTCCTTTTGGCAAACAACTTGAAGTGATGCAATCCAGTCCTACGTATTAGTCTGTGGATGTTTGCACCAAGAATAGTGTATATGAATGTTCATTTATAAGAAGTAGCTTTGCTCTTACTATCCCTTAGTGTGGAAATTTTACCCCAAGTTTTATGAAAAAAATTAGTAGTAGTAGTATCTACAGTCCATAGTTCAATAGACTTAGACATATCTTACATATTTGTTTATTATAATCCCTATCTTCTCCCCATTTCATTTTCCTTTTTCCTTAATGAATGATGAGTATATTCTTTAAAAATTCTTTCAGTGATGGTAGGAGCCATACTGATTTGAACTTCCATTCAGGCTTTTTTTTCCCCCTTTACATTGATTCAAGTTTTAAGAATTTTATTTAAATGTATTTATAAAGAAAGCATTGTATGGTATGACTCTTTCTTGCCATAGAGAGTGATCTTAAAACTAATAAAATTAAAGTTGTTATAAAATTTTAACTTGACTCTACTAATTGATTAATTGATGAAACATTGAGATCTTTCTGTCTAAAAGGGATATTAGTATTTAAACCCCAAAATAATATTAAAAACATGACATAGAATTACATATAACACTATTTAGATAAGAAAAATAATAATATGTATTTGAGTAATGGATAATGGAAAAATTATAAATAAAGTTTGTAATAATATTGGTCTCCAATGAGGGAAAATGGACAGTTAAGATTAGCACTTTTAATTGAAGTTTTGATTTATGAACAGTATATAAATATGGCATATTCAGAATTACAGTAAGTTAAAAATAAGAGAAAGAAATTAGCCTCAAACTAAGACTGTCTATTGAACTAATGAGTAAGGAAGGAAAAAGGACTGAACACTTAGTAACTTTCTCACTGTGTGAATCAATGCTACTCAATGCTCTCTGCGAACCACCTAAAATTATCTTGTAGTTAATGATGGGCACCCCATATTTCAAAAAGCACTGTAGTGAGAAATCTCTATTTGGAATTAACATCATTTTGCTCAAATATTTAATGCCTCTCTGTAATTCACTCACTTAGTCACAGGAATATTCTCCATTGTCAGGATTTACCCCATTGAATGCAATTATTTCTGAAGACAGAGATGCAGTCTAAACAGAAACCCCTGATGAGACTAATGCAAGAGAAGTATTATGAATCTCCCTTAGCCTTTTTTGCTATAACTTTGCCCATTTTCTCCTAGAACTTATGACATGTAGGATAAATGATGAACATCTTCTCAAGAATTTTTTGGGTTGAGTTCTTGTCTAATGATTGAACTGGCTACAATCTAAGGACTGCTAATAGAATATCCTAATCATCTGTCCAAGAAGAAATGTTCTCTTCTCTTTTCTATCAAATGGGTATACCCCTACCCATTCGATAAAAAAAATTGATTAAAAACATTAGCAGAATATTCCAGTTTACATTCTTTTTAAAATAAATCTGCATAACTCATTCTTACCTTGCCTGTAATTACTCGTATCTACTTTAGCAACTATTATTTAAAATAACCAATTTGTCTTCTCTTTCAGATTGACCTTCAGAGAGATTTTGCTACTGATGAAGACACTGTATGATGAGATGTGGTCTGAAATCAGTTTCTTGACATTTGCTTTAAATAGACAAGTAAATGCTAAAAGCTATGACCAAAAAAAAAAGCATTATTTGGGTGAGATTCATAAATCAAAAGAAGCCACTTTGTACAAAACATGTCAAAGACCTGTCTAGGTCTAGGGGCATATAGTTCATGCCTCAAATTTATGTCTGTTCTTGCATTTATTGCAAAATGTCCACAAACACAAAGAACATTAAACTCTTAGAGATCATCTGTTCTTGACCTCTCATTTCACAATGTTGAAGTCCTTTACTCAAAGTTACACTGAGTCAGTGGAAGGAATGAGAAAATTTCACTATTTCCCATTACATTAAACTCCTAGGAAAACAGCCATGCCCTGGAAGAAAAAGGCACCCTTCTGGAATTCTTCCAAATTCAGTGT